ATGGGCGCATCTGTACAACATCAGAATTAATAATTAATTAATTTTGAGGCAGGGTCTCTCTTGGCTGTCCTGGAACTTACCAGGTAAACCAGGCTGAGTTGGAGCTCAGAGAGATCTGCATACCTCTCCCTGCCAAATGCTGCGATTAAAGGCATGTGCTACCACACCTATCTGGATGCTTTGGATAATGATAAATATACAAGCTATGTCATTTCTTCTTGGTTTTATCTTTATTAAGATTTCCTTTTTTTAAAATGGTATGTATACAGATGTCTCTGTGTGGGTGTGTGCACATGAGTATAATGCCCACAGAGTCCAGAAGAGGGTATTGAGTTCCCTAGAGCTAGAGTTACAAGCAGTTGTAAGTCACCCAATATGGGTGCTGAAACACAAAGTTGAATTCTCTGGAAGGACAGCGTGGGACTTGAAGGGAGTAAAGGACAGCCCCAGGTGGGGAAGAGGTTTCACTAACTTATAGAAAGTCTCATGGATATCCTAGAGTGGCTGGTCAGCCCTCGTTCTAGGGAGAGACTTACAAAGAGATTCCAGGTCTCTCCCATCAGCTGGAGATAAGAACTGGGGTTAGCATGCCTGCCCACACCGGGCAGGGAGACAGGCAAAGGCACTCAAGAGACAAACTGCAAGTGGACTAGTGTGCTTCCTCATCAACTCTACAAACTTTCTGTAAAGAAGGAAACGGTATTCACGTTTGTGTAGCAAGGAAGACTGATGTGAAGCAGCCAGTTAGTTCTTAAGATCGGGGCCCGTGCAGAGGGCAGCACAGAACTTCAGGCTGGGCTTTCAAAAGCACTCCTCATGCTCTTCATAAACACGATGCAGCCTTCGGTAAACCAGGAGCATTGTCGACAAATTTCCATGTTACCCTCAAAGAACCTCTAACTCCCAGTGCCAAATAAATGCTCGACGCAGACCCTGTTTGTATTCAGAGCTGACTGCCAGTCTGCTTGTGGCTTGTCTGGAAGTAGGAATATTTTCCCAACCAATTTAATCACATTCTGGATTAGAACAGACTGATTTTTATCTTGGGAAGGACAGAGATAGGTGTACAGACTGGCCAAGTCAGATTTGAATTTTAAAAACAATTTTTCCGTATATCCTTGGGTCATTTCCCCTCCTACATCCTGTTCTCTGCCTGGAATATGATCCCCCTTGGGTCAGGCTAGGTGTGCTGTCAATCCCTCCCTTCCCGGTGGTACTGAAAGTCAGCCGTCTGAGGACAGGAGGGAGAGCAGGGGACTTGAGAGAAAGAAGGCTGGGTTTTACCTCAGGGGAGAAATTGAGACAACGGAACCAGGTCAGATATGACAAGGAGAGTGTGTGACTGTCTACACCATGGCGGAGATGAGTTTGGACTGTCCACACTAGCAGAGAAGTGTGGACATTGGTTCACTAGCTCCTTTTGGCAGACTTTAGAGCTGGTTTCTATGGTGACCAGAGACAATCAAAAAAAAAAAAAAACCCTCACTTGCTCCTTTCAGCTTCAGGCCACATACGGTTATTCTCTTTTCTTTTTCTGTCTTAATCCTCTACCATCCCCCTCTCTTTCTAGACAGTGTTGATCACTCGTTTGGGGGTGAATCACTGGATTCTAGACGTTGGTGTTTGACTCTTAGAGCAGAATGGAGGCAGATTCAGCTGAAACGCAGCCTTAGCTAAATTCGGTTTCAGAGGAGTGACTCATTGTATATTGCAGTCCTTGTCACTTACAGACAGGAACACATTCTGAGATATGTGTCACACATTCTGAGATATGTGTCATTAGGTGCAAAAGAGTGAACACCACAGGCTGCCATCAAATACTAACATGGTCACAATGTCACTAGGTAATATGATCTGGAGTTCATTGTTGACAAAAGTTATTGCTGGCAACTGGCTGTACTAAGAATGTCTCTCTAGCCTGGCGGTGGTGGCACACGCCTTTAATCCCAGCACTCGGGAGGCAGAGGCAGTCGGATCTCTGTGAGTTCGAGGCCAGGCTGGACCGACAGCCTCCAAAACAATACAGAGAAACCCTGTCTCATAAAAACCAGAAAAAAAAGAATGTCTCTAATCCTACCAGGGACACGTATACACTCAGCAGGATTAATTATAATTTTTTGTGCGTCTGTGCTTGTGTGTGCATGGTGGAGGCTGGAGGACAGCTTCAAGTATTACTCCTCAGGCTCGCTTTACCTTGTCAGGCTGCTCTGGGAGCCCGTACCTGACTCTGGGTCTTACCCTTGGTGGGCTCTAGTACTTTCGCCAATAAATCTTCCTGTGAACCAGACTCCAGAGACAGCTGTTTGATGGATGCTTGCAACAAGATATAATAAATTAAAATTCATTTTATAATGTGGCTCTCGAGACAGATACTGTTCTGCAAGTGACATCATGTCGGGCTAGTGACACCAATGTCCTTAGTAATGTTTACATTCAGGACAGTCTCCCTGGCTTGAACCTATGGGAAAATAGTCTCGAGTCGCACTGACTGTGACCTATGAGAATGGCCTCCCATCAGGAGAAGGCTGGCAGATGGTGTCCCTTTAGGACACAGTTGTGTTTCATCTATGTCTCCACGGTCTCAGTAAACAGTTTTGGATAAATCATGACGTCCTTTGAAATCACACAAAGCTCAGAAGGCATCCCGTCTTGGCTCTCCTATCCCCCAGTTAACCAAAAAGAGCAAGCCTTAGTGAAGGGAAGATCTTAAGGATGCTCCACAGGTCCAAGACATGTTCTACACTCTCTCCCGACCCTGGGCCATCAAACACATAACTCTTCCTTCAAGAAAGAGGCCCCCTCTCACTCTGGGCACTTCCTATATTCCGTTCAAGACCCCACTTACAGTGTTCTCCATCTGATCTTGCAAAAACATTGCTGCAGTTACTTGAGGGTTTTTCTGAGTCTACACTATCCATTTTGAAAGCTCAAAAGATGAGGTCAGGAGAGCTCATTTCTGTACCTGCAGTAATAGGATCTTCGGGACTGGAGGGAATGTGTTTAGTGGGTTACAGCAGCCATCAGGGTGATTTTGGTTTTTTTGTTTTTGTTTTTTTGTTTTGTTTTGCTTTTCGAGACAGGGTTTCTCTGTATTGTTTTGGAGGCTGTCCTGGAACTCACTCTGTAGACCAGGCTGGCCTCGAACTCACAGAGATCCGCCTGCCTCTGCCTCCCGAGTGCTGGGATTAAAGGCGTGCACCACCAATGCCGGCTCTGGTGATTTTGGTTTTAACCTATGGTAGGGCATGGGTTGCAGATTAGATCACAGGGAACAGGAAGGTGGGCAGCTGAGAATCCGCTCCCCTACACAATATGTAACATGAATAAATAAATGGCCCAGAGACTGATATTGGGGTCTAAGCTTCAAGCTGAATATCGGAAAAGCAAAGCAGATGGCCACTAGCTTCTTACCTCTACCTCAGGCTGAATGGACTGATCCAGTCTCCACAAACTCTCACCAAGCCTCAGACTGTAACCTCTGCTCAGTGTGGCTGGAGAACAAATGCCTCTCTGAGGCCTTGCTTCAGTCTTTTTTTTTTTCTTTCTTTCTTTTTTTTTTAATGTATGTAGCATGTCTGCCTGCAGGCCAGAAGAGGGGACCAGACCTCATAAAAGATGGTTGTGAGCCACCACGTGGTTGCTGAGAATTGAACTCAGGACCTCCGGAAGAGCAGACAGTGTTCTTAACCTCTGAGCCACCTCTCCAGCCTCCTAGCTTCTGTCTCATATACTTCCCTGATATTGGGATTAAAAGTGTGAACTATAGTTCTCTTTTAGACTGATTCACTCTTGTGTAGATCTGGGTGGCCTTGAACTCACAGAGATAAGTCTATCTCTTAATCCTGAGTCCTAGGATTAAAGGCGTGTACCACTACCTCCCAGCTTCTGGCTGCCAGGATTAAAGGTGTGTGCCTCACTTCTATAGCTTGAGGCTGACTTTGCTTTCTGAATCCTCAGGCAAGCTTTAATAAATCATAAACAATATATCACCACGATAAATAAATGTAATTTTTTAAAAATGTTGAAAGCCAGCCATGAACTGGAGTCCTCTTGTAGTACATAGTGAATTAGAGGCCAGTCTGGATTATATGACAAGATCTTGTCTCAAAAACTGATTAAAGTCTAGAAATCCTCTACAAACAAACCTAGGACTGGGCATCTGTTTGGATGCCACTGGGCAGCATTTAGAGGGGTCCTGAAGGATACGTGAGGAGGCTTTGTGAACAAACTATACCCATAGAAAGAACCTGAGTCCATGACCCCCAATACACACATATACACACACCATCACCACCACCACGGCCACCAACACAGCCGTTACCAGCACAGCTGTCACCACCCACAGTCACCATGGCCACTCACAAGCAAGACCTTGAATCCTGGTCTTCTCTGGGTTTAGGTTTTCATTTCATTTTAATTATTTTTTACTTAGTAAGCCAGGCTGGTCTCCGACTCCTTATATAGTGGGAGCTGGTCTTGAGCTCCTTTTCATCCTGCTGTCGCCTTCCAAGTGCTGGGATTGCACACCCAGTCTGTTCTTTTTAGTTTTTAGCCGTATAACACCCTACTGGAAGCTGGAACTCTCTACTCTTAATGCTACTTTACTGAAAGATGCAAGCAATTCAATGGACTGGGATCCCTAGAGACATCTCCCAGGCTTCCAGTTCTCTGGAGGTGCTGGAGAAAGGAGATTCCCACGCTGTGGCTATTACCAAGTCGCCAGGCCCAACCTCTCATCTCTGCATGATCCCAAGCGCTCATTTTACAAACCAGGAGGCCAAGAGGCTGGGTATTGTACCCTCAGAAATAGAGGACTGTCTTAGCACGCTTAAGGCACTAGCAGTGCAAAACGAAAGAGAGAGAGAGGAGAGAAAGAGAGACGAGAGGGGGGGGGGAAGGAGAGAAGGAAAGGGAGAGAGAGGGAGGAAGGGAGAGGGGAGGGAGGAGGACCCGCAGCAACTCCGGGGCGGGGCTAGCGGGCGCGGGGCGGGGGCCAGCACGGTCACATGACTCTCGGCCCGGAAGCTCTTGAGTCGAAATCACCACCTCTCGGATGACCCGGTTTGTAGCTGCTGGTTCCAGTGATCTCCCCCTGTCCCACGCTATGGCCTGGACCAAGTACCAGCTGTTCCTGGCCGGGCTCATGCTGGTCACCGGCTCCATCAACACGCTTTCTGCAAAGTGAGTCTGGGCCGGGCCGGGAGGGGCCTGCTGGGCCCATGGGTGCTGGGCGCTCTACGCCCTGCCCCGTCACCCTCCCGTCGGCTGCTCTCCAGGCCCACCAGCCCTCCACATTACCGAGAGCTCAGTCGCGCTGGTGTGGACGAAGGGGTGAGAGGCGGGAGGGTGCGAGCATCGGAAGCCCGCTCTGATTCGTGGTCACTTCCGTCTCCGAGCCTCAGTTTCCTCATCTCTGAGGCGAAGGGTTGGATCAGTTCCTCCCAGCGGCGCTCTCGGTGCTGCAGGCAGAGACCGGGCGCCTCCCGCTGGGTCTGGGGGCCTGCTGAGGACGAACCGGAGCTCCTGCAGTGACTAAACTGAAGAGATGGGGAAGCTAGGAGGTGGCCATAGGTCGTTTATGGAGAAAGCGGGGTTAGACTACATCTTGATGCTTAGTTGGGACTCCTGTGTGGCAGAGGCTTGGAGGCAGGAAAGAGAGAGAAAGGCCAGCGCCAAATGGCTTGTTCACAGCATCAAATGCCCAGCTGGACGCTCCCCCTCCATCATCAGAGGGGGACCTGAGGAGTGACTTGTTAAAAGTGACAGGATTGAAAAAAAAAAAAGAAAGCGGTGTGGTCAGCACGAGTGAAACTGTGTGAGGCCGGGAATCGCTCTGTGGCTCTGCTTGCGATGAGAACGCCTGGCAGGTGCCAGTGAGGTGGGAAACAAAGGCAGGTGGTAAAAACCACTTCCAGAATGAAGCCACGAGGCTGACACACAGGATCGAGGTATATGTCTGGGAGAAGTGTCCTTAGTCCAAAGCAGAAGGCAGCTGGGCAGTTCAACTCTGGCGCGTAGGAGTCACAGCCTTCCGTAGGTTGGGAGCTAAGGACCATGCCTCAGGAAACTGGGGACCCAGCATGACCTCTCTCATGAGCAGAAAGGCCTATCCTTTGTCTTGGCGACTCTTTGTCACTTTACCTGCTCCTCTTCTTCTATTGGCCATCTAAAATCCTCAGTGTGAGCAGCACCTGTCCCTTGTCCAGTGTGCACGTGGACAAGAGTGGACAACGGTCCTTTTTAAATCCAGTTTCACTTCCTGCGGGGTTCTGTTAGGCAAGAGGAGCTGGTGTCATGACTCCAGTAAAGGTTTCCTGACCTTCAGGGCTGTGCCCTGGGTTTCCTGGGCTTGTTGGTCTCTGCGCTCGGAGCTGGCTGTGAGCCTCGCGTGACCACTTCTGACTTATAGGTTTCTCTTGTCTCACAACTGTCTAAGCTGTGAAACGCTTGGGAGAGAAGTAGTCACTTCATCAGGCAGCTGTACAGTGCCCATAGTGGGGGAGGAGAAGGCAGAAGTGGCCAAGAGAAGGTCCCTGGCTTTGAGAAGTTTAGTATCTGAGGTGGAAGAGACAGGTTTGGACACACATGCCAGTCACAATGGGCCCCTCCCTTCCCCCAAGGGAAGGCACAATCTGAGGAACCTAGAGGGTGGCCTGTGCGCTTCTTGGGCTTATCTCTGCGTGTCTTGTGATGGGACTCGCATCAGCCTAGCACAGCTTCTAATGCTCAAAGCGGCTATTAGCCTGTCAAGGCTGCTGTCCCCAGGGAGAATTCAAGTGGTCATTTACTGCTTAGATAAAGCAAGCTGACTCAGTCATTCCTTTAAAAACCTCCAAACCGGTCAGGTAGGAAGCCAGGGGATCCTCGGTCCCAGGAAGCCCCACCCTTTGAGGTTCCCAGGTGAGAGGCTTAACCTTTGATCCTGGCCTTTGCCCTGTCTCCTTGTGTGGAGCCTCTAAGGAGCCCCCTTCCCCCATGCCCTCCCCATCCTGAGGTAGGACCCAGAGCTGGACTGTAAATGGTGCTCTGAAGCAAACAGTGCGGGGGAGTATGCCATACACAACTATACCATAACGTGATGTGAGCCACCATTAGAAACGGTGTGGTTGGCCTGTGGTTTCCACTAGGGACAGCCACATCAGCAGGAGGTGCAGGTGTGGGGGAGTGTATAGCCATTACGCAGGACCCAGGACCCAGGCCTACCAAGTTACAAGCTGACTACCTTGGCACCCTTGGGCATGAGGGAAGTTGATGGATTCTTCATCCCTAGATGGGAAACGAAAGCACAAAAGGTTCAGTTATACGCAGCTTCGACCCACCTCCCAAGTGATGTCCTCAATCTGAGTGGTCCAGCTCTAGAATCCATGGGTTTAACCACCGGTTAGGAGCGGGGCTGGATGCCAACCATTTTTGGAGACCAGTTGGTTGCATATTTATTTATCTTTTGGAACAGGGTCTCACTATATAGTTCCTAGCTGGCCTTGAATGCAGGGCCCTCCTGCCTTCACACCCCACGTATTAGGTTTACAGACATCCACTACCATGACCGCGGGCATTTCATTATTGTTGTGAACAGAACTCACCCAGTCTGACCCTTACAACTTACAAAGGAAGCCCCTAAAGAAGTTGCTTTTTGTAACTTGGCTTACTGACATCAGGACTGTGTTACACCCAGTCCCACCCCATACCAGTCTTTAGGACTGTGCTGCCCCGAGTCCTGACTCCCTGGGCTTTCTTCTCATCTCCCTACATTGTCTAGAAGGTGTAACCCTATAAACGGCATCTCCTACTCCCATCCTCACCCTCAGGGTACCCCCCCATTATGGGACTACCCGGGTCAGGGAATCCTGTCAATCATCCCACTTGCTCAGTTTAAGAGCCTCTGGCAGACTTGTAAGAGGAGCTCACTGCTGCCTTTCCCAGAGTCCCTGGGAAGATTGGCAGGCTCAGACGAGGAAGCGTCTGAGGGCACATGCTGCCCACTCTGCAGGGACCACAGCTTCGTGCTCTTCTGCCCACTCAGCAGGTTCTAGAAGACCACAGAGCACAATCACATGCCCAAAGAGAAAAAAGCCCTCCCTAACTGCCGCCCTGACTAACCCTTCCACCGCTTTCTGGGTGTTGGCTAAGGTCCCCTCCCTGGGAAGTGTTGCTTCTCCTTTCAGTGGCTGTTTCCTTGTCCTCTCACCAGCCAGTTCCGTTGACCAGTTCCTTGAGACCAAGCCATTTGTGTCTACCTGATTCAGTGCCCATGACAAGTACCCGTTTCAGAGCCTTCTTGTCCAGATGCAGCTGAGATTCTCCACCAGAGGAACCAACGTCACACAGATCCTCGCACTCCCTGCTAGGCTCCCAAGGCAGCCCCGTCCCGAGCGTCTGAGGGTTGAAGAGCCCACCCAGCCTGGGAGAGCATATGAGGCTGACTGTAGCCCCTGTCTCCACCTGTGGACAGGAAACCCTGCTTGGCATCACCGAGCCTTCGTAAGAGAAGGAGTCCCCACTGTCCCTTCAACTTTCGTGCTTGGCACTTTGCCCCTGCCCTTTGGGTTCTCTGCATGGCTTGGCATTGTTGCTTCTATGTGGCTACAGGGCCAGCTTAAGAGAGCCCGTTCAGAGGGCAGAGCAGTGGGAGGGAAAGAACGTGAGATTTAGTAGCTGTCTCATGAGAGGAAGCACTGGGCCTCTGTGAGCCTCTGTCTCCTGGGTTGTAAAGTGGATAGGATAATCTCTGCCCTGTTACCCCCAAAACCGTAGGAAGGTCTGCTAACCAACAGCAATGGGAGGGCTTGCCACCAGGAGGGTGACCACTGGGTATCCTCTCATAATAGAGGGCTTGTGGGGAGGCCGTGGCCCTTCTGAAGACCCCTGGATGAAGCTGTCTCAGTAGCTTGGCAGACAGTGAGATTCAGGAGGAAATGGCAGCAATTCTGCAGGAATCAGCGGTGACTGTGCATTTCCTCAGTCTCTTGTCTGTCACCCCTGCATGTACAGCTTCTAGAATGCTGAGCTTTTGTGAGCAAGGAAGGCCTACTATAAGTGACTCAACACCCAGCATAGTTACCCACCCCGGGGAACCCTGACACTCGGGGAACCCTGAAAGGAGCTGGCCTCTGTCAGCAGAGGGCACACCCTCCCTCTCCTGAGCAGGAACAAGCTGGAATGGGAGGTTGGGGAAAGCTGAGAGTCTGAACCGGAACTGGACACTACCTGGCATTCCCAGTACCAGCCCTGGTGTGCACTGTGAGTCCTGTGGCCCATCTTGGACCCAGGGTTCATCCATCTGTCAAATAAGGGGTTTTGCAGGATAATGGCCAAGTTTCTTTTAGTTCTACATGTCATGGCTGTGAAACTTTGGAGACGCCACCCAGAGAGCCCTTCTAGCCTCCTCTGCCTCAGGCAGCAGAGGGTATCTGGAGACTGAGTGTTCCCCCAGGAACTTGTAAGCCAAAGCCCAGTGAGACCACACTGACCCAACCCAAGGGAAGGTGGTTCTGGCCGCATGTGGAATTGGAGGGGAAAGGGATAGGGAGTGTGTATTGAACACTTGCTGGAGGCCCAGTCTTACAGGGGTTGTCAGTATTGGCCTGGGAACGTCTGGAACGCATCCAGCCCATGTGACCCAACGCTGAGCTTTCTGGGTGTTCTCTGTTTCTGATGGTACACTGCAGTGGGGCTCCACCACAGATATGCCTGCCGTCAGCTGGAAAAACCTGAACTTGTCACCCTGAGCCCACATTACCCTCTGAAAATAAAGACCCTTGTGAAATTTAACCAGGCAGTGCTTGACGAATTGCATGTTAAAAAAACATGTTTGTGATGGTGCACACCTTTAATCCCAACAGAGGTGGAGAGCACCCTGATCTCCATAGTGAGCTTTCAGCCAGTCAGGGCTACATAGTGAGACCCATCCTCAAAGGGGGGAAAATAATTGTTTGTGAGACTGGAGAGATGTTGGTGAAGCATTGCTAGTCAGGAAAGTGTTATCTGACTGGGGGGGGGTCATAGCTGTCATCCTCAGGCACTTTGAGGCTGGATTTTTGGATCCTCTTTGTGAAACAGGTATAGTAAGCCCAGATCCCTACCTTGTCTCCTCCCAGTCCTGAAGAGATACATTGGACCGAAGCTGACATCTAGTTCTTTGGTTGGATAGGTTCTTAGATACAAAGAGATTCCATTTCTCCCGTGGGAAGCCAGCCAGCAATGCCTGTCCAGACAAACCAGGCCTCCCTTGTAGCGAAAGCCTAGACAAGTCTTAAGGAGAAAGGCTCAACTGGGCGGGCAGCCAGCCAGCTAACACCCCAGAAGACAGGCCCATACTGTGCCTGCATCAGGGGCCACCTCAGACTCATGGAAAGTCAACCCCATGGACACTGGGTCAGGGGTTACAGCACCTATCACATGCCCAAGCGAGAGTCTGGAAGGCTCAGTCACTCAATCGAACCTCTCGGGCTGTGCTGTGCTGTGCAGGGAGCAGCAGGTGGACTGTGGAAGGGCCCTGCTAAACTCATTCAGAACTCTGTGGGATCGATTGGGGTGAGCATTAGATGTGAGCAGAGATTGTGAACCCCAGCAGTAGCCCAAGGTGCTGCTAAGCAATGGCCACGCTGCTATATCCAGATCTAGAGGGTCCTGTGTGCCAGTCTGTGATCTGAAGGACCATCACCAGGATGAGTAGAGGGCTTCCGAAACCACCACTTTCCCCTCCAAAAGGAAGCACCGGCCCCAGCTTGTGGTGGACCGTCACAGGCTTGATGTCACTTCCTTCTACCTCCCGGAGGAGCCCTGGCTTGCTCCCTCACTGGGTCAGTGACTCTGTGACCTCAAGAAAGCCTGAGCCCTTCACTCGGCCTTCACAGAGGCTCTTTCAACCACGGCAAACATGAGTTCCAAATGGGCCTACCTAGATGAAGCATGCATCTTGTCTGGGACCCCCCTTGTACGCCCATCCCATCCTGCCTGTGAGTGCAAGAGCCAGAACCAGTAGGAGATCAGACCCCAGAAATGAGAGACGTTCTGTTACATAGGAAGGGCTCTTTAGCTCCTGTGGAGCTGAGGCTGGAACTAGCTATGCATGTTCCATCCCCTAGTCCGCAGAACTCCACATTTCTCCTCTCTAGACGGTCAAGTTAGAACTTTTCCTTTCAGTTGTCCTTTGATCATTGTTCCTAAGAACCCTCCAGAAGCCCACCCCCTCCCTTCTTTTGGGAACTCAGGCTTGTTTTTTGGTTTTGGTTTTTGTTTTGGGTTTTTTGTTTTTTGGTTTTTTTTTTTTTTTTTGGTTTTGTTTTTCGAGACAAGGTTTCTCTGTATTGTTTTGGAGACTGTCCTGGAACTCACTCTGTAGACCAGGCTGGCCTCAAACTCACAGAGACCCACCTGCCTCTGCCTCCCGAGTGCTGGGATTAAAGGCATGCGCCACCAATGCCCGGCTGAACTCAGGCTTGTTAACTGGTAAGTCCGGAACATGGGTATGCTTCGATATGGCTGCCCTAGTGAGGTGTTCCAAGGAAAAGACCTGTCTGGAGAAGCCCTGAGTCTTGACCTTAGAGACGTCCGCTGTCTGGTATGGGAACTACAGTGGGTGTACGCCCGTGCCCGTGGGAACAGCTAGTGTGTGTCAGCTAGAGTCAGGAGGCAACATGACTGGTACAGTAAGAGTTTGACCAGCGTGAGGGAGGGGCTGCCATCTTGCCAGCCTCTTGTCTGGGCCATATCATTCACGTGGCTTAGTCCTGGGCCCACAGGAGCACTTCCAGAAGTCAGCAGCCAGGAGGGTGGAAAATTAGCAAGGCCTGGGGTGGTTATCCAGAAGAGAAAATTCACAAGGTCAGAGTGGCTCCAGGTGGCAAAGGGATCTCCAGTTAGAAAGCAGATTAGTCTGGAGACGTAGCAGCCCAGCAGGAAGGAGAGTCAGAAGGAGCTTCTGTGCTTAGATGGCAGCAGTTCCGAATGATGGGCGTTGCTGCCTGAAGTGTGCTGGGAAGGTTCTGGGCTGGATGGGGACCATTTCCACTACCAGTCTCCTGTCTGTGGTGGTGGCACTCACTGGGATTTGTACTCTATGGCAGGGGCTACATGCTTTAGGTATGTATTAGAAGGGCCTTCTGGACTGTGAAGGATCCAGTGTTCATCTCCTGAGCCTGAATGCCCCTCTAGACAAGAGGCTCAGCTGATGGGTGGGTAGGTTGGTGGGTTGGTAGGTTGGTAGGGTGGTTAGTAGTTTGGTTGGTTGGTTGGTTGGTAGGTTGGTTAGTAGTTTGGTTGGTTGGTAGGTAGGTAGGTTGGTGGTGGGTCTCTATGTATAACCCAAGCTAGTCTCAAACTCACTGTGTAGCTCAAGCTGACCTTAAACTCACATCAGTTCACTTGACTTGGCCACTTTAATGGTACGCTTACAGATGTGTGGCCCCATGTCCAGATGACCAAAGACTCTTGATACTTTTCATGTACTGGTCCCTTTTGACAGTCTGGTAGAAATCAAAGATTTCAAAAAAGTCAAACAAGTTGAAGTAAAGTTATCAAATATTAGAGAACAGATTGGCTGCCGGGCTTGGTACATCTTAGCACTCAGGAAACTGAGGCAAGAAGATTTTGAATTCAAGTCTGGATTATATAGTAAGAGTTTGTCTCAGGAAAAATAAAGGGAAAAAATCACCTGTTTTGCAATGTGAATGTTTAATACACTCAATTTCAAGCAGTGGCTCTAATTTTATTTTGAGGAGTAATGGGTATAATACACTTCATATAAGCAACACTAATGTAATAATAATAATACCTGATTTCTACAAGTTGCAAGTCTCTGTTTGCAAGTTGATGAGATGCTGTCTTAAAACCCCTCACCATGGGGTCAGGCTCCTCTGAAAAGGAGTGTCAACCGGGGCTGAGTGGGAGTCTAGCCAGGCGGAGAAGCCATTGTTCCTCCAGTCTGACTCCTGTTCCTACTGCAGGTGGGCCGACAACTTCAAAGCCGAAGGCTGTGGAGGAAGCAGGGAGCACAACTTTGAACATCCCTTCCTCCAGGTACCTCCTGTCCATCTCCCAGGCTTCACTCAGGCACCTCTGAGGCTGGTCTCCTTCCTGGCCTAAGGGTGAACCTCCCCTGGCTCCCCAAAAGCCATCTACTCCTCTCCTCTCACAGAATAAGATCAGAGTTCAAGAGCACCCAAGCAGGGGCATAGTGCCCCGTGGGAGGCCTTCATGAGAGGTCATGCTCTCACCGTGCCCCATTTCAACACATGGAAAGCACTAGCTCTCGTGACAAGTGTGTTGTGCATTTCCCTTGAGCCCAGAACTCCACTGAGATAGGAGACGTGGAAGATACCCCATCTCTGGACTGAGCGTTAGAAGGCTCAGATCCATCCCCACTGCGTTAGCAGTTGGCTATCAGACCTTCCTTGAGTCTTTGAACCTGAGTCTGGATTGTAAAAAGTTGGCCTGATGGGTTGAGTTTACACCATGCCTCACCCCATAGGGTGTCCACTGAGAAGTTCTGGGGCCCCTGTGAGAGGCCTAGAGGCCTAGCCGGCTTCCCACAGCTACTCTGCTTATTTTTGTTTGCTTGTTTGACATTAGGGGATTCTAGGATAAACTCTTGTCTGAGTGTGGTTATATTAAAACGAACGAAAAACAGCATTGCTAAAGGCGGCCCTGAAGGCCCTTCCCTGCTGAGTTCTCAAGTCTTGTTCCTGCAGGCAGTGGGCATGTTCCTGGGAGAGTTTTCCTGCCTCGCTGCCTTCTACCTGGTCCAGTGCAGGGCCACAAGACAGTCCGACTCCAGTGTAGAGCCCCAGCAGTCCTTCAACGCCCTGCTTTTCCTGCCCCCAGCCCTGTGTGACATGACTGGAACCAGCCTCATGTACGTGGGTGAGTACGGCCGCGTTTAAGAGGTTACCAGTGAATCAGCGCCCCCACCCCACCCTACCACCCCCTCACGGTCTTCATATGAGCACAGCCAAGACTTAGTGCTCATCTTGTCCCTACTCCCTGGGGATACCTCGGTGGCAGCCAGCCTTGGCCCTTTACAGCCACTGATCATGTCTTTCCTTTGCTAGCCCTGAACATGACCAGTGCCTCGAGCTTCCAGATGCTGCGGGGTGCAGTGATCATCTTCACAGGCCTGTTCTCAGTGGCCTTCCTGAACCGGAGGCTGGCACCAAGCCAGTGGGTGGGCATCCTGGCCACCATTGTGGGACTGGTGGTGGTTGGCCTCGCTGACCTCCTGAGCAAGCATGACAGCCAACACAAGCTCAGCGAAGTCATCACAGGTGAGGCCAGGTGGCACCTGAGGCTGCTTCCCTCGTCCCCTCCCCTCTGGAAGCCTAGCATAAAGTCATCCCACAGATTCATCCAGGCTCTGCCATCTGTGTATCCTGGGCTGGGTCGTATACCTGACGGGTACATGATGGGCCGGGTGTGAGGGAGACCAGGAGACTGTGGCCATTACAAGGAAGAGACCGGCAGGCAGCTGATGGAGCTGTCTGGACCTGTGACTCATATTCACAAATACAAACTGCTGGTTTGGAGAGGGACAGAAGGACCAGTTTCTGACACACACCCAGCCCTATGCATATCTCATCACAGTAGCCCAAACTCCAGCAGAAGTCACTGCAGCACATTTTACCATGAAGTGCCGACTCGAGCCACTCAGGTTCACAATTAAACCTGAAGGATCTTGTCTCAAGCCTGTTGCTTATGCAGTTCCCGGGCCAAGGCAGGTCTCGGGGCTTTCTGGAACCCCAGGCCTGCCTGCTGTCCTGCCCTCGGAAAAATCAGGAGCTGGCTTGTGGGTCTGTCCCTGGGTCCTCCTGCCACCACCCCAGCCCTAGTTCCACAGTGGCCCGCCTCACTGCAGCCTCTTTTCCTCAGGTGACTTGTTGATCATCATGGCCCAGATCATCGTTGCCATCCAGATGGTGCTAGAGGAGAAGTTTGTCTACAAACACAATGTCCACCCTCTCAGGGCAGTGGGCATCGAGGGTGCGTGTGGGCACAGGCCTGGGCACGGTGGCTGATGGGAGGGGTACGCAGGGCAGCATGTGCTGTGAAACGCATAAAACGTGGAGCTGGGGCAGGGGCTGGTGACCACTTGATAGAGTCAGCCACCATCCCCAGAGGGACATGGGCAAGGGGAGAGGAGACAGAGAAGGAAAATGAGCAAGACATGCCCCTCTCTAGAGGCGGTGACAGCAGGGAAGGGGCCAGACCGCGCACTTGAGCTTAAACCAGTCATACTCAGGCACCTCATTTGCTGAGCAGTTCTGAGTCTCTCGGGGCAGGAAAGGTGACCTTGGAGCCACAGCTTCCAACAGACAGGAGGAGGGGAGAGGGACTTTCTGACAGGGCAGTGGCTTGAGTTGTCAGTTGTGCATTTGGAAACCAGTGAGTTGTCATTTGAGTGGGATCTGACATCAAGGCGAAGGGACACATCCCATGAGTAGACCACAGGAACCTAACAAAAAAAACAGTGGTTCTGAGATGGGAGACTGCCTGCCCGTGGGCATGCTGGGACGCCCCAGGCAGGGTGGAGAGTGTGATACGCTTCCTTGCTTCCCGCAGGCTTCTTTGGCTTCGTGATCCTCTCGCTGCTCCTCGTGCCCATGTACTACATCCCAGCTGGCTCCTTTAGTGGGAACCCTCGTGGGACGCTGGAGGATGCTCTGGACGCCTTCTGCCAGGTGGGCCGACAGCCCCTGATTGCCGTGGCTCTGCTGGGCAACATCAGCAGCATCGCCTTCTTCAACTTTGCGGGGGTCAGTGTCACCAAGGAACTGAGTGCCACCACCCGCATGGTGCTCGACAGCTTACGCACCGTGGTCATCTGGGCCTTGAGCCTCGCACTGGGCTGGGAGACCTTCCACCCACTGCAGATCCTTGGTTTCTTCATCCTCCTCATGGGCACCGCCCTCTACAATGGACTGCACCGTCCACTGCTAGCCTGCCTGTCCAGGGGCTGGCATCCCCCGACGCAAGAGGGTGAGCAAGAGAGACTGCTGGGTGACAGCCGGACTCCTATCAATGATGCCAGCTGAGCCCCTGGTGGGGATCTCTGCTGCCACCAGATGGCTGAGGTCATGCAGAATGGTGGGCTGTGAGTGCCCTGTCCCCAAGGCCTCACCCCACCCCTCCCTACTGACCCCTTCGGGCAGCTGTTGCCAGAGAGGATGGCAGAACACCAGGTCCTCTCTTATTCCTGAAGCCTATAATGTTGGGACTCAGGCTCCACAGGCCCGGGTATGGCATCCACTCTCAGCCCTCCGAGTTCTTCCTGCAAAAATGTGAACTTGAGTGGCAGGAATTTACAACCCTAGTATTTCTGTGTAATACACTAACTTGTTACAGTAGATTATCTAGCTTATGAATCATAAGCTACAAAGAATTCAATGAGCAGGTTCAAATCAGAGCTTAGAGATGTATTCTCCAAACTTAAGCCTGTCTGGAGACCTAGGTTCGGGCTCAGACTTGGCTGCAGACTCCGTGTGTGCACCGGGTCTGTCCACTCTGGAGCACGGGTGGACATGATGTGGTTTCGGTGCCTTGCAGCCCCAGCATTCTGTGGGCCTCTGATTGTCACTAGCATTAGAAAAGAGGAGTGGTACCTCTCCCTCACCATGGTGGGTTTATTTTTTTTTTTTTCTACTCTGCAGCCCTGGCTGTCCTGAAACTTATGATGTAGTCCAGGCTGGCCTGGAACTCATGATGTAGACCAGGCTGGCCTCAGACTCACAGAGATCCACCTGTCCCTGCTTCCTCAGTGCTGGAATTAAAGGTGTATGTCACCATGCCCAGCACCTCGTTGATGCTGTCTTCTTCATACTCCAAGGTGCCCCTTCTTGGGAAAGACTATAGGGAGACTTCAGGCAGCCCTTGGTAATCACTTCACGATCCCATTTTGTTTTGTTTGAAGCAAGGTCTTGCGTAGCGCCAGCATCAACTTCCTATGCAGCCCCGAGCTGGGGCACACTCAGTCCTCCTGGCTCAGCCTCCCACGTGTTGAAATGACAGGCATATGCTACCATGCCTGGGTAACTTCCATTTTTAGGTAAGGAAACTGAGTTTTGTAACTTGTTCGGCAAGAGGACTCTGTCTCTAGCTGTGAAATTGGGCCAAAGACCTGTGGGAGCCCTGGTCTTGGCAGTCACACGGCTGTGTGAGACCTGGAGCAGCTGTAACTCACAGCCCCATCAGCAGTCTGGACCCAGAGTACCCACCAGGACGACAGACTTCTCAGAATTCTTTCTATGGAATAGTTTGGCATTCCCAGCATTGGGTTAAATGCTCAGTCCTCACCTCTTCTCATGATATGTACAGAGGGGAAGGCTATGGCACTCCCAAAGGGCTAAGTGACATATACACATAGAGCCAGTATCCCAACCAGCCGGGTCTCTCTGATTTGAAACCTATGGCCCACTATCACACAGGTCTCTGTGGGTCTTTGGGGTGAATTTCTATGACTGGGCTAAATGCCTAAAATACTGTTACCTGGCAGATACTCCCACCCTTAATAGAAGAAATGCAGCAGGACCAGAGCCCTGGCAGCCCTTAATCCCAGCATTGCTCATGGGAATGGTTGAGTGGCAGCCCAATAATAAAACCCTAAGACCTTTTTTAAAGAGATTGGGGGGCGGGGTGTTAGTCCTTTGACGACCATGGTCCTCAGTGTACAGTTGATTCCAACAGATTCTCATGGTATGTCAAGGAAGGAACTTTCTGTTCCATCAGCCTGGAGTCCCAGGGACCCAAGCTTCTCTGGACTACACTGTGTGACCCGGGAGAAGTAAATGAGGACTCTGTGCCCATTTGCTCAAGGTGGCAGAGACAGTGTGAAAAGCTGGGGCCCTACCATGTTGGTTTTGAGTTTATTTCTTTTAATGGGAAACTGTCAATATCGGGCCTTTTTTTAATGAAAGAGAAAAGGCATACAAGAGTAGCACCTAGAATGAATGTTGAGTGTGAGAAGCACGAACATCACTTACTCCTTCGAGGAAGACAGTAGAACCCAGGGCCAGGGAGGTGGCTCACCAGGGAAAAGCCTTGGAAACCTGAGCTCAATCCCAGAACCCTCAGTGGAAGGAGCAAGCTGACTCCCAAATGTCCCCTGACCTCCACGTGCACGCTGCACCCACATTCATATATATCATACATGTGTAATAATACTTGTAAAAACCCTGAAGGACACTAATGCCCAGAATGATAAGGACTTCCCAGAGGTCAGCACGTTACAGACAATGCCAGGTGCCCTGGTTCATTGCCCATCCCATTGTGCCACAGATGGACAGAGCAGAGCTGGCAGCCAGAATCTCACCTGCCCTGGACTGCCCAACTCGTGTTAAACAGGCATGCGCCACTATGCCCACCTGCCGACATCCTCTCAAAACACAAGACCAGCTGGAGACTCTTAAGTCTTAGAAATTTGGGTTGTCCACTTTTGGGGGTTATGGTGAGACACAGTTTCTCTGTGTAGCCCTGGGTGTCCTGGAGCTCATTCTATAGACCAGGCTGGCCTCAAACTCAGAGACCCACTTGCTTCTGCTTCCCAAGTGCTAGGACATTGAACACTTTTTTAGACATGGGGAAACTTAGTTCTGGAGAGTGTTGCTACAGCTCTCCTGACCTTAGAACAAATGGAGACCTAGGTTAGGCAGCAGTGGCCTATACAGTCCATACTTCACTTTTAAAATCCTATCTTAATTCAAGAGTGAGTGTGAGGATAGCACTGGCTCCATTCTGTACTGCTGCCACTTACGACTTACGTGATGCCGTAAGTAGGCCATTTGCCACAAGACAAAACTGGTAACCCAGAAGTGAGGACGCATGGCCGTCTGTAGTTTTATGTGCCCCCTTGCTCCCCACAGGTGCACCCTTCTGGAGGGCTCGAGAAAGGCTGCCACTGTCTGGGGATGTGCGTGAGGTTGGTCAGCCTCTTGGGCATCCTCAGAGTTAAGAGTTCATGGGTGGCCTCGGGTCCATCAGAACAGTCACCACTGCAAGGAGCTGCAGCATGGGCTTTCTCCCGTGGGCATTTCCCCTTTGTGCTGCCAAATCATTTTTCAGTGCTCTCCCAGGACCCACAGCAAATGTCCCCTTCAGCCTGGTATCAAAGAGGGAGATATGTAGCAGTCAAGTTTAAAGTGGTTTTCCTCCAAAGTGGTAGAGAAAGAAGCAGTGGTTGTCAGAGGCAGAAAGGGCCGAGGACCAGTGTGCCTCCACAACCTGCTGCAGGGGCATTGCTTTGGAGAGTGTGTCCTTCGTACTCTTCCTCTTCACATGTGTCTCAAGGACACCTCCACTTTGGGATCATTCAAGCCACATAGGCAGAATCCATGTTAGTGAACTTTATTTTTTAAATGTGTGTGAATGTATGCATGTGCATGTCCAAGTAGCTAGAATCCAAGCCCACACTCAAGCCAAGCCCTTAAGCTGACCACAGTCAAGGTGGGGACTGTGTGTTCTGGTCATGAAAGTGACCCTAAAATGTGCGTGCGTGTGTGTGTGTGTGTGTGTGTGTGTGTGTGTGTGTGCTGGAAATTGAACCCAGCGGCATCATGCATGCTTACTAGGCTCTGCCAATGATCTATATTCCCAGCCCTGTTTTTACTTTTGATTTTGAGTCTTCCTCAGTTGTCCAGAGCAGTCTTGGGTCCTGTAGCCCAGGCAGTCCTTGAACTTTTGGTCTCCTTCAGCCTCCCAAGTAGATGGGATGACAGGTCGTAATCACCATGCCTATCACAACTGACATTTTTCAAACCAGACTTGAACCAGGTGTGGTGACACCTCAGTCACGTAGCTCCTTGAGCTAGACTGTCACTGCTCTCTCCATCCCTCCCTCCCTCACTCCCCCATAACTTCTCACTGCATTGCTCAAGCCAGAGTGTATCTTTTCCAGTTAGCACGAGTAATGTGGTGGTTCCCAAGTCCCAGGTCACCATGTTATTGCCAAATCAGCAAAGCATGTTATAGGCCACAGTCCCTGGGCCTGAGTGATCTTCCTGTCTAGAGTGGCTGGGACTTCAGATATGTGAAATTGCACCCACTTCTCTCTTCAGTAAAGAAAAAATAAAAAACCACCATAAGAAGCAGTGGTGTGGGGTTCAAATCCTGCCTCGGCTGCTTTTCCTGTGTGCCTTCAGCTTTGGCTGAAGGAGTCTGTCTCAGAAATTATGGCACAACCAACGAATCCCCCCCCTTTCTCTCTCCTATGAACTCCCCAATAGTTCTGAGAGTTCCTATGATCTGTAATTTACTACCTTTGTTCCATTCAGCTGCTCTAGAGCTCAAAGATGACTAGTGTTCACTTGACATCTTCAGTTCACTTTGTTTCCATTTAGTTTATTAAAAAAAAAAAATCCGGCTGGAGAGATGGCTCAGTAGATAAACACCCATGGTATCTCACAGTCTATAACAGAGTCTAACACTATGTTCTGGGGTAGACAGCACTCATATACATAAAGTACATAAGTAAATCTTTCAAAAGTCTTTCAAAAACCAAAAGATATAAAAATGTATGCAGTAATAAACACCCCTCCCTCTTCTACCTCAAGCTACCCATCACTACTGCTTCAGAGACAAGTTAGTTTCATCAGTTTCTTCGGAATCTAGATTCTGTCTTCCATCAGCTTTCCTACTTCTAGCTTAATAAAAGGCTGTCTGTCTAAAGCAGAGTTCATAAGTGAAGATTTTCTCTGTCTAATTAACAGTTGCTAAGGATGCGGATTTCTTCAGTTTGTGTCGACCTGGATAATTGGAGGTGGGATCATCTTTCTGTAATTTGACTATACCTTAAAGAACTTAGAATCCTCCTTTTCTCTCCTCCTATTTTAGTAAATGTAAAAGTTTGATGGCATTAAGAACATGCATGTTATACAACCACAGCCACCATCAGTCTGTAGAAATGCTTCTCTTCCCAACTGGAAACTCTGTCCCCATTCAACAGTAACCCACTGTCCATCCTCTCAGCTCCTGTCAATCCCGCTCTACTTTCTGTCTACCTCGTGTAGTGGAATCATGAACCAGTGATCTTTTTGTGACTAGCTTATGTCACTTAGCATAGTGATTTCAAGGTTCATCCATGTAGTTTATGTCAGAAATTCCCCCCTTTTTAAAGGTGAGAAACACACCATTATATATTCATTTTCTCTATTCATTTGCTGATGGACACTCAGGTCATTGTGAGTAAAACTGTTGTGAACATTCCTGCTTCTAGTTCTTTTGGATGTATAACATGTACCTCTGGATCATATAGTAAAGTAATTCTGTGTTTAAATTATGTGTTTGTAGGTAGCATACTGGGGATTGAACACAGAACCTTGGATGAGACACGTGCTTTAACATTGGGCTGTGTCATCAGCCTTTGTTTGTTTTGGTTGGTTGGTTGGTTGAGACAAATTTTACTACACAGGATGACTAGCCTAGAACTCTCTAGGCCAGACTGCCCTGAACTTAGAGCAAACCTCTTGCCTCTACCTTCCAAATGCTGGAATTAAAATCCACAGATAAAGCCAGGGTACCGATGGCGCCATCATCTCCCAAAGTCCCCCCCCCCAACACTGCTGCACTCGGGACCAAGCCTCTGTAGGACATTTCAGATTCCAGCCACGACACATTTCCACAGCAGCTGCACCGTTTTACACCACCCACCCCAGTGTTGCAGAAGGTTCTGTGAAACCACTGATTACATAAGGAGATTCTTGATTAGAGTACACGTTCATGATAGAGCAATTAGAAAACTCAAAAAAGCAAAATGACGAAATTGAAATCCTCTTTATTCTAATTACGGAGATATGACCCGAATTCATATTACTCCCGGGAGAAAGGGAAAAGCTGTTTTTCCCCCCGGACAGTTCTGTCATGGTGTTCAATAGCATAGTCCAAGAATAGTGCTGGTGCCTGCCCTGCTGGGCCTTGTCCTCAGATCCCATCGTCCTGGCCGTCCCCACGACCCTAGGAAAGGTCACCTGGCCTCGGATTCCTATTTGCGGGTTGCTCTCGGAGCGTCCCGGGAGCTGTGTGGAGTTGTCACATTCTCGGGCGGTCTGTTTTCCCCATTCTCAAAGCCACACCAACACCGACGTGAAAGCGCAAAACGTTTGAGGGAATGAATTCTACAAACTTACCACCTTCATCATTCTGAGTCGTCCTTTTGCCCAGCGGGCACCAGATAAAGCAAGTCGGGTCAGTCAAAGATCAACACGCAGACTGTGGGAAAGCCCCGCCTTCCTTCGCTCCTCCAAGTGCCCATTGGCTGACTCTGCGGCCAGACCTTCATTCTCACTGGTCCTTCCGGCCGTCGCTCTACGGTGGCGTTCCAGAGCCGGCCACTGAGAGTCACGGAGTTGGAGTTTTAAAAAATACGGTGGGCGGGGCGGGTGGGTTTTGAACTGATGGCGGCGGAGCCCCGGAGGCTCTGATGCGCTCGGCCACCGCGCTCTCTCGGGCTTAGCAGAGGCGGCGGAGCTTGGACCCTCGCGGCCAACTATGGGCCCGCGCCGCAAGCCGAGGACCCCGACAAGGCGCTCCTCCAGCCCGGTCCCCGGGCCCTCGCGACACAGCTCCCATCTAGGTAAGCGGGCCGGCCTAACCTCCGAGGGTGCTGGCGACAGCCCGAATAGGGCTCCGAACCCCCGAAACCACAGGCGTAAGGGTAAGGGTGCTGAGCACAGGACTCGGGCCCCCTGGAACAAGCGCTGCTTACTGTTGAGCAAGCTTTCCAGCCCAGCTTTTTATTATTTTACTTGCATACTTGGTCTCCGCAGCCTAGTTCAAATCACTGGCTTTTCTTCTCTCCTCCTCCCCGGACACACTGTAGGAGCCCCCTCAACAGCCACTACTCAACTTCTACTCTTTTGTGTTGTTGTTTATTTTATGTGTGTTGTTGTTTTACCTGCATGTATGTCTGTGAACGCACGGAACCACTGGAACTGGAGTTAGACAGCTGCCATGTGGGTGCTGGGAATTGAACCTGAGTCCTATGGAAGAGCAGCCAGGTGCTCATATTCGCAGAGCCATCTCTCCAGCCCCTCGATTTCTACTTTTTTCGAGACAGGGTTTTGTTTCTGTATTGTTTTGGAGGCTGTCCTGGAACTCACCAGGCTGGCCTCGAACTCACAGAGATCAGCCGGCCTTTTACCCCCCGAGGGCTGGGATTAAAGGCGTGCGCCACCAACGCGCGGCGTGAAGCATTTTCTTAATTGCTAAGTGATAGGAGGGCCCGGTCTTCCGCGGGTGGTATCACCCCACCCCTGGGAAGGGGGCTTGGGCCAGGAAAGCAGGTTGGCTAGCAGCGCTCCTCCACCACGGTTCCTGCCTCCAGGCGCCTCTCTTGAGGACCGGCTGTACCGTGTAAGCCAGTTTTGGTTACGATGTTTATCCCAGCCACAGAAACCAGAGTAGAACAGGGTCCTTCCTCCGTTTGTCTTCCGTGTCACCTGGACACTGCTCTGTGTCACCCACGATTAAGTCCCCACTGCCACCTGCCTGGCACAGGCCACCTGCTCCCCTCCCATCCCCCATGGCCTTGCTGTGCTCCCGCCTGCTTGCATAGAGTCTTCTTTCTTGGCTGGGCCTGAAAGCCAATTTTATCCTTCAAAATGCTGTCTTTTTCATTGTTCCTTTTGCAGTACCAGGGATAGAACTGAGTGCTCTGAGCTGCACCTCCAGCCCGTGTGTGTGTGTGTGTGTGTGTGTGTGTGTGTGTGTGTGTGTGTGTGTGTGTGTGTGTGTGTCTTAGCCAAGCTGTTGAACTTATTCATTTTTATCAGTCATTGTTCATAGTTATTGAGCAATTATACTATTTACTTATTTTATGTTCATTAATTTATTACACGTAATATGCCTTGTTTATCTTTTTAATAAAGTTTTATTTATTAAAACAATCTTATTTTACATACCAATCCTAGTTCCCTCTCCCTCCCGTCCTCCCATCCACTCCCCAAGGAGGATGAGGCCTCCCATGGGGGATCATCAAAGTCTATCACATCATTTGGGGCAGAACCTAGGCCCTACCCTGTTATCTAGGCTGAGAGAGTATCCCTCCATAGGGAATGTAATAACTAACTCTTCAGTTGAATTTTACTCAGTTATCTATTTTTTTTTAGATTTATTTTGATGGGGGGGGGGCCTACAGTGATGGCTTAGTAGTTAAGAGCACTGACTACTCTTCCCAAAATCCACATAGCGTCTGACAGCCTCTGTAACTACAGTGCAGGGGATCTGACTCCTCCTGACATCTGCGGGCACCAGGCATGTGCATGGGACCCACACATACATGCAAGCAAAAGATTTTTGTGGTTTTTATGTGTCTTAATTAGGGTTTTATTGCTGTGAAGAGACACCATGACCATGGCAACTCTTTTTATAAAGGAAAGCATTTCCCTGGGGCTGGCTTACAGTCGAGAGGTTTTGTCCATTGCCATCTGGGTGGGAAGCGTCAGGTAGACATGGTGCTGGGGAAGAAGCTGAGAGCTCTACATGGGGAGTAATGGTGACACCCTGGCCAGGCTGGAGCTTCTGAGACCTCAAAGTCCACCCCCTAGTGACATGCCTCCTCCAACAAAGCCACACCTCCTACTAGTGCCACTCCCTATGTGCGAATGGGGCCTTTTTTTTCCAGACCACCACATTATTATTTATATGTGTGAGTGTTTTGCCTGCATTTGTGTGTGCGTGTCCAAACCTAGGACCTCTGCAAGAACAAATACTCTTAGCCAATGAGCAATCCCTCCAGCCCCAACTTTTATTTGTAATCATATGTACATGCTCTGTAGTACAAGTGCTCAAGGACACCAGTCATTATTGCCCCCTGGACCTAAAGTATAGGTAGTACGAGCCACCTGATGTGGCTCCTCCTTAAGAATGGTACACGCTCTGACCACTGAGCCGTCTCTGGGCCTTAACTCATTTGGCATTCTTGTTTTCTACTAGATATGTTTCAGGGTATTCATTTGCCCTTGGTGCTTTTAGTTGTTTTTTGTTTGTTTGGTTGGTTGGTTTTTGAAGACAGGGTTTCTTCTGTGCAGCCCTGGCTGTCCAGAAACTCTCTCTGTACACCAGGCTGGCCTAAACTCACAGATGTCCACCTGCCTCTGCCTCCCCAGTGCTTGGATTAAAGGCCTAAGCCAACGCCACCACCACCACCCAGCTTATCTTTTAGGTTTTTAAAAGTAAATTTTGATATTCTTCATCTTAAATAGTCTAATATCAGTTTCTTCTTCAACATTAGGGTTCGAAGTATTTTCTTTGTGTTTCGGGGATTGAACCCGTGACTTCATGCATGCTAATCAAGTGTTTACTGCAGAGCTGCATCTCTAGAGCAGAGAGAGGGTTTTTTTAGTTTGGTATTTTATTTTCTAGTGAGAATTTGAATTTCTACCTAAGGCTGTGGCTTCACAGCCCACGTTCCTAACTAGCTCTAAATTATGCCACTTCTAAGGTCCCAACTTGGCCTCTAATGAGCACTGGCCAACTATCTTTACTTCCCTGGGCCCCAAGATAAGCAAGACAAGAGATCCATACTGGGTAGTATCTAATTCCTTCCAGCTGTTACAAAGAAAGAAAGGACCTAAAAACTGAATAACGAACTTGGAAAATCTAGGTGGGAATGGGGGAGATCTGAGATGCATGGAGTACTGTGGGGCCCACAGGAAGGATCTGTTGGGAAGGAACCGAGGTTTGAGAAAGGCTTCATGGAAGTTAACACTGCAACCCAGAGGCTCGGACTGCACTCTCTCAGCACGCCTCTTGTAAGCACCAGTGTGTCTTTTCACACTCTCTTAGCGTGTCTTAAGCACCCGTGAGCCATTGCGGGTTCCACCCCCAGGAAGAGGAGAATCCCCGCTCTAGAGTGTGGTGCAAGTCTGTTGATAAGAAGGGTTGTGCTCCGCTCCCGAGGCACCACTTACTCCCACCGCACCTCCCTCATGACCCAACTCTCCCCAGGCAGGAGGCGGAAACTTCTGTGGATGAAGGAGATAAAGAAACTGCAGAAGAGCACAGACCTCCTGCTAAGGAAGCAGCCCTTCAGCCGCGTCGTGAGTCTGGGCACCTTCACTCCGCCTGGCCCCCTTTGCTCTAAGTCTCCCACAGATGGGGGACTCGTGCTTCTTGCTGATGTGGACAGAGGGTGCTTCTAACGCTTTGGGGCGCTGCACATCCTCTTTCCCATGCTGATCTCTCATTACCTGTAGTAGAGCCCTCTCTTCCAGTTTCCCTCCCTGCCCTGGAAATTGCCTTTTCCCCTCCCACCCATAAGCTATGCAAGTTAAAGCTCCCAGGGGTCGGCACCTACCCTGAGCCAGGCCCTTAGGTCAAGGGCCACACATAATGGTGGAAGTGAGGATGCTTAGAGATACTTGGAGAAAGACGTCTACTCTTTGACCCTCCGCTACTCTCAGCTCATCCCCGCTCCTCCATAGGTAAGAGAAATTTGTGGGAAATTCACTCGAGGTGTGGACCTATATTGGCAAGCCCAGGCCTTGTTGGCCCTACAAGAGGTAAGAAGGAGTAGGTATTGGTGAAGGCTTAGAGGGGGAAGAGCATCCCAGAATTCCACAGGACGGCATGAGGGGCGGGTACCAGGGACTGTTCCTGGCCTCCTAAAAAGAGCAGCCAATGTGCAATGCCCGACAGTTTGGAGGGGGTAGAGTGGGTGGCCGCTGGGCTCACCCCATTCTTTACTTCAGTCCTGTGAGTCGGTATGACTTCAAGAAAAACAGTCCAGGCCTTTCTTCCATGTCAGTCTTCTCTTTGTCCCCCAGGCAGCAGAAGCATTTCTAGTTCACCTCTTTGAGGACGCCTATCTCCTCACCTTACATGCCAACCGAGTCACCCTCTTCCCCAAGGACATTCAGCTGACCAGGAGGATCCGAGGCATTGAGGGAGGACTCGGCTGAGCCGGCAGTGTGCTGTGTGTCCGTAAGTATTCCCTGCTCAGACAGCGAGTGCTGCTTGTTGCTGAGAGTGGAGATTGGTCTGAAGGAGAGTGTCATGAATCCCTAGTCCCTTGCCATCTCACTATTTGTTCCCTGATAAAGGCCTGGCCTTTCCCAGCTGCTTGGGAGGCATGCGCCATGGTTGGTGTCTTATTGTACAATGTTAAAATAAAAGCTGAGTGTAGTGGTTCGTGCTTGTCACCCAACACTTGGGAAGCAAAGCAGGCAGGATGCAGCTGGCACTGCATAGTGAGAGCCTTCTTCAAAAAGAAGGGGAGAGGGCTGGAGGGATAGCTCAGCTGTTAAAGGCTAGGTTCACAACCAAAAAGAAGGGGAGAGATGAGCTGCGCTCCAGATATCTGGTAGTGCGCCTTGCCATTTGCAAGGACTGGATCCCCTAATGGTTTGTTTTTTGGGTTTTTTGTTTGTTTGTTTGTTTTGTACTTTTTGTGTTTGGTTTTTTATTGTTGTTTTCTTTTCAACAATTCTGTGTTGCTTTGGCTGTCCTGGAACTTGCTCTGTAGATCAGGCTGGCCTCAAACTCACAGAGATCCGCCTGCCTCTGCCTTCCAGTTGCTGGAATTAAAGGCGTGCACCACCACTATGTTTGGCCTCAAATTCTGTAATTTTTTTTAAAAATGCCTTGTTAGCCAGGCATGGTGGCACACGCCTTTAATCCTAGCACTTAGGAGGCAGAGGAAGGAGGATCTCTATGAGTATGAGACCAGCCTAGCCTACAAACCGAAATACAGGACAGCCAGGACTGTTACACAGAGAAACCTTGTCTCCAGGGAAAAAGAAAAAAAAGCCTTGTTAGTAAATGTGATTCCTAAATTTCAGAGCCTACACATGGGACCTTCTGGAGCCACAGTGAGACCATGATGTCTGAGGAGCTGCCTGGACTCAGCTGGTTTTGAACAGCATGCACACATTGACCGTTAAACTTTCTAAAGAGGAGAAGACTATGGCTTTTCTCTGTGGCAGAGAGGGGAAATGACCATCTGCATACGTTCATGGACATGAGTCTTTGCAGACCACAGGTCAGCTTTGGCTTGTGAACTGCTCAACCACGACTGTTTACGGGTTTTGGACACATGAGATCTGCCGCGTTAGGAGGGGATAGTGTTATTTTAGTCTTTCTGGTCCATGTGCATCTTTTACTATGTGTGTATTTGTACTTTCATTTAGAATATAAGGGAGAAAAATCTGGGTGAAATGTTTGAGTCTGTTGTACGGAAAGCCCTGGCAGTTCCTCGCTAGTACCTGTCAGCAAGCTTTCAGCTCTTCAGAACCTAACTAGAACTGAATACAAATCTTCCTTCCTTCCCTTCGATGCTGGGGCTTGAGTGTAAGCTTTGTCCGTGCTAAGTGTGAACTATACTGTTGAGCCATATCCATAGCCTGAAGTGTACAGTCTTTCTGATTCTTACCAGTAAATTCCTGTCAAAATCATCCAGAAAGTCCCTGGTAGGACTGGACATTGTATTCTTAGCTGTAAATCATATAAAATGTATCATGTCAGTCTGGAATGTTAAAATGTGTTTTCATATTTTTACAGATGTTTCTTTTTAGCTTATTTGGGGAGAGGTAATAAAAATTTCTTAATGAAAAAATTAAAATAAAGTTACTGCCCTAGGTGTTACAAGCTTTTTTAGTAAACATTGAGCTCATTTTTTACCGCATTTGAAACAGCCACGATGTAGATGTGAGTGGTGCGGATTTGCCACTGATGAGGCGAACACACACAAAATTTGCTCTTTTGTTGGCAGTAAAAGCAATGTAAGAGGTTTCCAGAAAAATGGGCCATGCTGCCCTTGGACTTGAGGTGAAAACAGCAGTGAGCACTAAACAGTCTGTGCTATTGGTGGAGACACGTCAGCTGACTGAACTCGAAGTTCCGGGTTTTGCTATTTAATAAGCTTTCCCCTTTGCAAGCGTTTCCATTTGGTCAGATAAATGCAAACATTCAAATAAAGCTTACCTGTGGGTTTTTAGTTTTCTTCCAAGTGCTAGGTGGGATAAAGTGTTCCCCGTACTGCAGGGTTTGTATGAGAATAAGTGATTTAACATCCTGGTGACTAAAGGAAGGCAATGTTAGAATTTACTATACATTTTAAGAACTCCATCCTCCCAGTGCAGGGATTCAAATGTGTGCTGACATACCTGGCATTCTAATGTGGGTCCTGGGGATTAAACCTAGGTCCTGTGGTTACAAGGTGGACACTTCAGCAACCAACCTGTCCAGAAGTGTTGTTGAGTTTTTGCATTTTACCTTTGTTATGATTTGGTCTGAAATTCCTGTTGCCCGTGTGTTTGGGCTGTTTAGCCTTAGGGAAGTAGCTGTAGGCAGCATCGGCGCTAACTGCCAAAAGCCCTACCTCCCAGGCCCCACAAGCATCCCCCACTGGCAGAACCTAACCAGAAGCAGCCGCAAGGAGTCTGGGAATGTACCTGACCAGCTTCCAGCCTCTTTTGTCGGAACTTCAAAGAGGAAGGACAGGGCCTAAAGCTAATGCCTTTTTAAATTTGTTATACTTTTCTGTTAGCTGGATTTTGTTTTGCTGTGTGATAACTTTGCTCAAAATTAGTTTCCCTTCCTTCTAATTGTTCTAGCTCCTCTAAGGTTCTCCTGTGATAGCAAATGTTATTTGCTTGAAGACAAAAGTTCAGAGAGTTGGTGTGTGGCTGGGAATAGCCGAGTTTGAGCTTTCCCGAAGGATGCTCTGGTGAACATGATAGGGAACCCTCTCGGCCCCCTGGGGATCAGTGTGTGCTCAGAGGAGAGCTAAGGCTCAGGTGGTGCTAGCTGAGTTGAGGAGAACTTATGCCCGGATCCACAATGTATGCACAGACCTTCAGCATGTGCCCAGCTTTGGCTCCTGGCGTCCAGAGGCCCTCTCCTAAACTGACTCAGCACTAAGGGGACGCTGGGGAAAAGCAGCTATGCAGTGAGTGGCAGGGAAACTCCTAGAGCCGCCTTTGCAGCCAGCCTTACCCAGCTCTCATTGCTCCAGTTGCAGAAGGATTTGATGCCATCAGTTTGGGGCTGGCGAAGGCTGTGGCGTGGACTCTGCTGGCTCGGTTTCGCCCCTCCGGTCTGGGGAGCTGCCGACATCAGTGCCTGCTTGTCCATCTGCGTTTTAACTTTCAAAAGTGTTGCTGCTCTTGCCTCCTTGCTTCTCCCCATCTCTCTCAGTTTGTGATGATTTTCTTAACTCTGTGTAGAATCCTGTTCTGGCAATTTTCTTTCTTGACATCAGAAAGCTGACACCACCGTTTTCTGGGTTCTGTTTTCGCTGTTGAGATGTCACTCTAACCATTACTCTTTGAAACTAATACTATTTCCTTGATTTGTCCTTTCTTCGAAGATTTTCCCTTGTTCCTGGTGTTCTGCAGTGTCATGATGTTGTGTCTAAATGCAGGCTTTTTTTTTCTTCTTATTTTGCTGGGGCTTCTTGAATACGGACTGATGGCTTTTCATCAATCCTCACCCGTTATGTCTCCAAATATCGCCTTTCTCCAGTCTCTCCTCTCCTGATCCCCAAGTCACCTGCTCGTCATTGCTTTCATAGTATTTCTTCTGCCCGCTTCATAATTCATTGAGGTTTTTCTGCAGCTCTTCCTAATCTACCTGTAAACTTTTCCACTTTCTTTTCCTTTTGTTTTGTTCTATTTTGAGACAGGCTCTCACTAGAATCTTCCTGTCTCTGCCTCCCAGTGCTGGGATTAAAGTGTGTCACCAGTGAGATTAAAATGTGTGTCACAGCCGGGCGTTGGTGGCACACGCCTTTAATCCCAGCACTCGGGAGGCAGAGGCAGGTGGATCTCTGTGAGTTCGAGACCAGCCTGGACTACCAAGCGAGTTCCAGGACAGCCTCCAAAGCCACAGAGAAACCCTGTCTCAAAAAAAAAAAAAAATGTGTGTGTCACCAGTGGGATTGAAGTGTGTGTCACCAGCTCTGTCCTTTGTCCGTTTTCTTAGTTTTAGTTGTTGTAAGGTTTGTTTTGAGTTTATTATTTGGTTATTATTTGGTTTTCTTTGTTTTGTTTTTGAGACAGGCTCTTAGTTAGCCCAGGCTGGACGCAAGCCTGCTGTGTGGCCAAATGTACTTGAGTATTCTCCTGCCACTGTTCCCCTTTGCTGGAGTAGTAAGCATGTAACACCATACCTAACACCACCATGCCTACCATCCCTTTTCATTTTTATGTTACTTTTTATAGATTCTTGCTCCCTGCTGAGAACTCCAAGTTTGGTGCCTTTCTCTCCTTAATAAATAATGTAAGCTTAGTTGTTTCTGGCTGCGTCTGATGGTTCTAGGGTTTGAGCCCTTATGGATCTGTTTCTGTATATGGCTTCGTTGGGTTCTCATGCGTGATTTCTTGTCTCTGAGGTCTCAGATGCCACATTCCAGAGAGGGTCCTTCTTCTCCCATCAGCCACCTCGAGGCACTGAAATCCAGAAGTCAGTGGCTGTCACTTACACACTCCATGAGAGCAGCCAGCTCTTCCCGGGGCATCCTGGGCTCCACCCTCCAGCTCCCTGTTGACTGTGTTTGAATGGTGTTGTTTCCAGGAATTGAAAAACTCCACTAAAAAGTGTGTGTGTGTGTGTGTGTGTGTGTGTGTGTGTGTGTGTGTGTGTTGTGTGGACTCTGATAGTATAGATGTATGCGTGTGTGTGTGTGTGTGTGTGTGTGTGTGTGTTGTGTGGACTCTTGATAATGTAGATGTATGCATGTGTATGTGTGTGTGTGTGTTGTGTGGACTCTGATAATGTAGATGTGTGTGTGTGTTGTGTGGACTCTGATAGTGTAGGTGTATGTGTGTGTGTGTGTGTGTGTTTTGTATGGACTCTGATAGTGTAGATGTGTGTGTGTGTGTTGTGTGGACTCTAATAGTGCAGATGTGTGTGTGTGTGTGTGTGTTGTGTGGACTCTGATAGTGTAGGTGTGTGTGTGTGTGTGTGTGTGTTGTGTGGACTCTGATAGTGCAGATGTATGCATGTGGGCCTAGAAGCCAGAGGCTGATGATATCAGGTACCCTTCCTTGACTGCTGTAGATGTGTGCGTGTGGGCCTAGAAGCCAGAGCTGGTGATGTCAGGGGCCCTTCCTTGACTGCTGTCCGCCTTTGGTGCACGCGTGCGTGAGTGCATGTGTGTTTTGTTTGTTTGTACTTTGATAGTATAGATGTTTGCGTCTGTGTGTGCAGAAGCCAGAGCAGAGCGTCCTGTGGTCTTGTCTGTCACCCTCCACCTTATTCCCTTGAGACAGGACCTCTCACTGAAACTGGGTCTGACTGCCCCTGAGCAAACTGCAGCAATCCTCCTGTCTCTAGCCTCCTCTACTGTAGCCCCAGGGTTATGGGTGCATAAGGCCAAACCCAGCTTCTTACCTGAGTGTCAGGGATCCGAACTCAGGTCCTCTTGTTTGCATTGAAGGCATTTCAACAGCTGAGCCCTCTCCTCTTCTCAGCCCCTCATTAATTTTTTAATTGAAATATTTGCATACCTGAGTCAGATTCCAGGGACATGTATTGAAAGGTTTGCAATAACTGAGGTTGCAGAAATAACTCAGATTGATCCTGGAAACAATTAGTTTCCAGGGCATCATGTGCAACAGCAATATTGACCCAGTGTGGGTGGGGGAGGGGAGAGAAACCCTTGGTAAAACGCTCTGCTGCTCTTTAAAGTGCGGCTGATCTTTAAAGTGTGCCCAGATCTGTCTCCTGTAAATGACGTGCTGTCGGCCATCGTGAGCTCACAAGGGGGTTGGGTGCTAAACAGTGTTTTTCCCTGGACAGATGGATCCATCACAACTCTCATCCAGGTAGAGGGATGTCCTAGGGGATGGAGAGTTGAGGCAAGCCACATGAGCTTGAACACTTAAACAATTCTATATAAAAGAATTGCAATATTTAAGCTGGGCATAGTGGTGCATGCTTTTAATCCCAGCACTCAAGAGGCAGAGGCAGGCGGATCTCTGTGAGTTTGAGGCCAGCCTTGTCTACAAAACTACACCGAGAAACCCTGCCTTGAAAAATTAAAAAAAAAAGATTTATGTATAAATTCAAAACATATTTTGAATTGAAATTGGTTTCTTTACAATATTTATACAACATTTACAAATAATTGCATCTCATAAATTAAGGACATTGACACAAAGCATACTAAATATCAACACAGCTTTGTCAAACGACCCCACGGGTAAATATGGAGCCTACCAACACTAAGGCATGGGAACAAAGCTTAGACTAGCAGAACACATTTACATCTGCTAGAGGTCTGGGATATATGACCTCAAAGATACCCTTGGACCCTGAAAGTCTGGGCTAAAAGTAAGGTACAGGGAGCAAGGACAGCTCAGGTGGCACCTAAGAGGGCCTTCTATCGCAAAGGAAAAAACACCTTGAGACACAGTGTTTAGGATTTAGTGTCCCCGGGGAAAGTGCCTTGGCCTGTCTTTTCGCCTCTCTGCCTCTCACACCCCCACTGTGGAGACTTGGGTACCCTTTGGCTTTTCTACCCTACCGTTAATAGGGAACAAAGAGTCTTTGCCTCTGGCCTAGCTCCCTAGGTCACCATCCATGACACACAGGAACAAAGAGAAAGAAAGCATATGCATGTCTTTTTTGTTGTTTTCTTTTAAGA